TTGCTGCTTGCCCCCCTGCTTTTGTCCCAACGATGGGGACTTGTCATGGGGGGGGGAAGGGGCTGGAGCAGCACCCACAAGCACAGAGAGGTGCCCAAGGGACATTGGTAGAGTTTGGGTGACCAGGCAGGGCAGGGTGGACATCAGGCTGCACAGCCAGCCCATGTGGCCAGGGCTGCCCCGCGCCGCAGCTGGTGGTGAGCAAGGCAAAGGGGAGGAAAAACCACCCCAGCTGAGACAGAGAGCAAGAAACAGAGCGTGGGCCCTTCGCTCGGGCTCGGCAGCGGCTTGTGCTTGTCCTGCCTTGTTAACGTGTTTGCTGTAATAATATTTCCTGCTGGGCTGAAGTTATTTATACTTGTGGGGTGGTGACAGGAACACAGAGCGGAGCAGGAGCCCTGAACTGCTCTTACCTGATCTGCGGCAGAGGGGCGGACGGAGGAGGAAGGAAGCTCAGAAAAAAAGAGGCAGCAAGAGAAGGGAGGCCAAAGGAGGGGAAGAGAAAGCAGGCAGGGCATCCCCGGGGAGGGACAAGGGAGGGGACCAGCCAGGGAAAGAGAAAAAGGGGGAACGAGGGAAGGAGGAAGAAGAGGAGTAAGGAGGGAGAGGTCCTCGGGGAAAAACAAAGGGCAGAGCGGCTCTGGGGAGCCAAGGGGCCAACAGCGTCCGATGCCAAGCATTGCCAAGGGGTGCTGAGTGGTACAGCCAAGCGGAGCTGCTCTCGTGGTCTCATCCCGGCTCTCAAGATGATGAAGAGGCAGTTTAATCGGATGCGGCAGCAGCTGTCCCATCCCAACATCATCAGCCGGTAAGGACTTCTCTGCTACCTGTTCCGGGGGGCTGCAAGGGAGTGGGATGTGGGTCCTGCAGGGCTTGTGCTGCGGCTAGACTGACCTCCCTGGGCTGGTGGTGAGGGAAAAGGGGGAAGGGGTGAATGACCCTGGGTTTAGAGCATCTTCAGTGTAAGCCAAGGTGCTGTGGCTCCCTGGCTCCCTGGTGCCTGTGGGACAGCAGGAAGGCTGCACTGGTGCTGCTCAGCA